GTGCAGGCGGTCCTGACGCACTTGGAGAGTGCAGCCTCCGGCCCTCGCCGCCTTCCTCTTGCCCGACGTGCCTGACGGCTTTGTAGTATGCCCCGCCCGGAATGTAGATGGAGCCACAACTCCCAATGGGCGCGATCCCTAAATACCCCTCAGACGGCAACAAAGATAGCCGCTGAGCAATGGAGTTGGGATTAAAATTGTGGAGCTCCACGCCGTAGTAGTAGCGTGGCGCGCGCATGAACCGGTCCGGCCGACGCCGAGGCCATGCTCGTGGAAGGAGACGAAGCTTACGACATAGCCGTCGCAAGGCCTCGGCTCCGCTCGCCGTCGACGAGCAATCCATTCCGGCGAGGTGGAGTCAGTCACCGGGCGGTGGAGCCCACCGTCGACAAGCGACTGGAGCATCTCCTCGGTGACGTCCGACGGATCCCAGGGGTCCGCCTCGACGACAACGATATCACTGGCCATGGACTCGCTCTTCCTCCTCTCCTTCTTGGCACTCGCTGCTCTAGCGATGGCTCGGCGGGGGCGGCGCTGATGCAGGCAAGGTAAGACGAGGAGGGGCAAAACTCCCCGGGTATTTATGCAGGGAGGAGGCAAAAGCAATGGCGATGAAATCGGGAGATTTCCCCCAATCAAGCGCGGTTAACCACGAGCCGATTTCACCGCCCACGCTACCATGCGTCTCCCGCATTAAATGCGAGGACGGTTACGTCCCATCCACCACGCCACGCTCGGCCACTATGGCAGCAGGTACCGTTTCAACTCCCAATAAAACTGCCTCAAAAGGCGCGCCACTCGCGGCCGAGCCAATAGGGAAAATATTTCCTGCGGCCTGTTCCTTTCATAGGAAGGAACCGGGCTCTGAGCCTATTACGATCCAGGGGTTCGAAGGCTGGACCCCAAAAGGGTTTCGACAGCTGCCCCAGGATAACAGAGTCAGGGGCGACTGCGGGCGAGCCTATTCGGGGCCGAGACCCAAGCGAGCGAAACGCTTGGGACGCCCAAAGTCGTGTCCGAGACCGGCAGGAAAGTATCCGAATGGGATACCACCATAGGGAGCCACCGAGGCCCAACGAACGGCCTCGGCACCCACTAGAGAAATCCTCTGGTACTCTTGGAGTGTGTCTCTGGACCGCTAGCCGTCCTCTAACGAACGGGGTTCGGGCCTCCACTCGGACTACCCGATAACAGCTCACCGGAAGTGCCACCGCTCGTGCCCATCGAGGGTAGCGAGGCACATTCCACCCCTCCTTCCGAGCGAAAAGGAAGCGCGAGGGTCGCATAAAAAGTCAGGGGAACCCCTGACGGCCTTCTCGCCCTATGCAGAGGCTAGGGGGCTCCTCCTGCAAATATGCCGAGACCCCACGACCCGGGCTCGTGCCCAAAGGGGCCTCGGCAAACAAACCCTCACGCGCGAGGGGCGTATAAAAAGTCAGGGGAACTCCCGACGGCCCTCTCGCTCTGCGTAGAGGCTAGGGGCTCTTCCTGCGACCTTGCCGAGACCAGAATGGGCTCGGCAAACAAACCCTCACACGCGAGGGGCGTATAAAAAGTCAGAGAACTCCCGACGGCCCTCTCGCTCTGCAGAGGCTAGGGGCTCTTCCTCGTGCATCCTTGCCGAGACTGAGAATGGGCTCGCAAACAGACCTCCGTCCAAACAAAAAGGATATGTGAGGGGTGAATGAAAAAAGTCGAGACCCCCAGACCGTCCTCTTGCTCCAGCGGAGGCTCGGGGGCTCCTCTTGCACCCAAAAACCAAGACAAAAACGATAAAGGGCACCGAGCCCATTCACGTCCAGGGTTCAAGGTCGGGCCTCCAAGAGGTTTCGACAGCCGCCCCAGGGCAACAGAGTCAGGGACGACTTCGGGGCGAGCCTACGAATGGCCCAGGCCCGAACGAGCAGTCGCTCGGGGCGTCCTAAGTCGTGTCCGAGACCGACAGGAAAGTATCCGAATGGGATCCCACCGTAGGGAGGCACCGAGCCACCGAGGCCCAACGAACGGCCTCGGCACCCCTAGAGAAATCCTCCGTACTTTTTTGGTGCGTCTCGGACCGCTAGCCGTCCCCTAGCGAACGGGCTCGGGCCTCCACTCGGACTACCCGATAACACTCACCGAAAGTGTCCACGCTCGCGCCATCGAGGGTAGCATGGCACATTCCACCCCTCCTTCCGAGCGAAAGGAAGCGTGAGGGACATACCCAACGTCGGGGGACCCCACAGCGAACCTCTCGCTCCATGCGGAGGCTAGAGGGCCTCTTTTTGCAACCTCGCCGAGACCCCGCAACTCGAACTTGCGCTTATGGGCTCGGCAAATGCAATAAGAACTGATCACTCAAACGCGAAGTGGAGAAAGCCCTGGAGGGGTAACTTCACTCCTCCGTGAGCTCGGGGCTACACACCCGGCGGAGTGCGCTCACACACCCACCGGAACCTCGTAAACCAAACCAATTCCTACGAGCAGAGCATAAACCTAGCCTCGACGAACCCTCGTGGAGAGTGCACGCACTCACCCCGAGGCTCGGGGGCTATTGTCGGGTACCTTAGAACGGGGTACCCCAAGCAAACATCAAAATAAAGCTAGAAGGTAAGCCGTGGGCCCCTCACCGCCACGGCACCGAGCCCTCCTCCACCTCGCCTCGAGCCTCGGCGGGGGGTCTCGGAACAAACTCCGCCTCGCGAGGCTCCCAGTAGGTCTCGGCGGGGACGCCGAGCCTCGGCGGGGGCGCCGTCTCCGTCTCGCCCCCCGAGGCTATCCAGGAAGGCCTCGGCTCGGCGGTACATTCTCCGTATCGCGCGAGGCGTCTCGCGCAAGGCCTCGGCAAGGAACCTGATCTCCGCCTCGCGTGAGGCCTCATTCTCCGTGTCGCTCGAGGCCGGCTCGTCTGTGGTCCGTCCGCCCCCCGCCTCGGCCGACGACCCTCCCAACAACTCGTCATGTCTCATTAATGCTTCAACCACTCCCGCAAATCTCAATGGACGGTGGCTCAACGCCACAGATGGCCGACGCGACCCGAGGTCGCATCGTCATCCTCATACCGCCGGGACAGGAGTGCGACGGGATTACCGCCATCGTGTCCTACCACTATGTCCACGATCAGCACCATACCGGCTGGGACAGGGTACGACGGGGATTACCGGCCACTGTGTCCTACCACTGTGTCCACGATCAGCACCATACCGGCCGGGGCAGTACGACGGGATTACCGACCACTGTGTCCAAATGCTGTACCCATGATCGGCCGCCCGCTCAAGGCCTCGACACTGTACACCGGGGCCTCGGCGATCTTGGGGCTCGTGCCTGCCGAGACCCCCCCACCGCAGTGCCAGCCTCGGCATCGACCAAGTCTCGGCCTCGCGCACAGTCCGTCCACAGTGGCTTGCACGGTCGCCGCCGCGTCCACTCCGAGGCATTCCCGGGGCTCCCACGCATGTGATCTCGATGGGATGACCACGCCGCCCAAAGATCTCAAGGATGGACCACTCCGACGGCCACACCGCCACAGGAATAGGCTACAGGGCCCGGACATGCCGCCTCTGTTCACACGACGCCGTATAGTCAGCTCATGTACCGCCCTAGTCCTCCCTTCATGCTATAAAAGGAGAGGACCGGGGTTGTTTTAAGGAGGGGGGAGACCTTGTAACACACACGCACACTCCTGCCGCCGGAGAGCAACGTCTCAAGCGGCCCACACGGCACCCTGCCGAGACCTAGGACCAGCTCCTTCTCTCCTTTAGCTTGTAACCCCCTACTACGAGCACCTCGGTGCAAGGAATACAAGATCGATCTCTCAGACTAGAAGTAGGGCCTCGATTGCCTGAACCTGTATAAACCTTGTGTCTCTTTGCATCACCATCCGGATTGGGAGCACGCAGAACAAATTCACTGGTTGGTTGAGGACCCCCCGGTCCGAAACACCGACAATAAGACACTTGCAACATGCCTCTAAAATATTTGAAGCACTTGAAATAGACGCATGCGACATGCAGTTTCAACGCAACATTCTTCGCTGCTTGGGAGAATGGATCCTTGTCGACGTGTGGAGTTCTATCTCGGCTGTTGTAGGCTGCACACGGGCGAGTTCCGCCCGAACACGTCAAACTGGGTAGGCGGATGTGAGATGTGCGCGGGTGGGCTCCGCCTGGGCTGCCGTGAGTTGCACGCGGGCAACCTCCACACCCGACCGCAACTAACTAGGCAGGTGGAGGCGGAGGTATTCCTAGTTGCCGACCAAGCATCCGGCCCCATAGTGGAGGCGACAGTAGTCTCCCTCACCATGCGCAAGTGGCACAGCGCGCCGATGGAGCTCGTGCATACGTGGCTAGCGGTGGCGCTCGACGCTCGTGCATATGCGGACGGCGGCGGAGGCGCTCGTGCGGGCGCGGGCACTAGCAGAGCTCGTGCGTGTACGCGACCGAAGGACGGGCGGTGCGGTGGAGCCGATGCAAATAGGAAGATAAGATGTCGCTCTCTTTTATTTTTGGTAATTTTTTTAGAGAAACGGTGTATGCCGATGAGGGGAGCAGGTCTCTGCGCCGGTCCGCAGCCTAGCTAGCCACGTCCAAACTGACCGACGTGGAACGAACGAACGTGATGGAGCATTAGCGAAAAATACACGTACACACCGGCATGTAGAAAGCTCAGACGCTTGACAGGAACGCTTAAGATTCATGTAAGATTAATGTGTAGTTATTCTCAATTTCTTCGCCCTTCTATAGTGTGATAGAGTAGATATGTTTAAAAATGTTTGATTTTATAATGAACTCCTAGTAATTATGTCCCTTTGTAAGGAGTATAGGTTAGTGGACTAGTACATACTGGAATTCCTTCATTCTTGTTGATAATGGTACGAACAGATTAAACTATCAATACCTAGTAAACCAAGAAAAATAATTGAAATTTCCACGTATGGTCATATATATAACAGGAAAAATGATCAGCGCCTAATCACGGACCATATCTTTAATCAATTGTCCCCATATATAGTAAAGAAAATATTAGCCTTCTTCCGAAGATGTACTGCTGTTGTCACCCTCAATAAGGTTCATGAAGGAAGACGGAACTGGAGGAATTCCAGTGTCTAAAACACCTTCCAGCATACAAACAACTTGGGCCATCGATGGCCTGTCGTTCTCCTCGTCCTGGATGCACCAACAAGCAACTCTACAGGCGACATCAAGCTCCTCGACGTTGGCATTTCCTTCCAGCCTACGATCCAGCAAGCACAGCACGTTTCCTTCATTCAGTTGGGCAGCAGCATAAAGAGGGAAATACCGATGGCTCCCAAATTTCAGTCTCCTGGTAGTCCTTCTCCCCGAGATTATTTCAAGAAGCACGATGCCGAAGCTATAGACATCTGCTTTTTTGGTGATAGGCTGTCCGGACACCCACTCCGGCGCAAGATAGCCCATGGTTCCTCGGATCGTGGTCAACGCCGAGCTGAATTCCCGTCCAAGAAGCTTTGCCATGCCGAAGTCCGCGATCTTCACGCGGAATTCCGAGTCGAGAAGTATATTTTCGGGCTTGATATCGCAGTGTATGATGCAGTCTTCGCATTCTTCGTGGAGGTAGGCTAGTCCCTTGGCGGTACCATGCGCAATCCGGTACCGAAGATCCCAGTTCAGTAGACATGGATTGTTTTCCGAGAAGAGGTGTGCACCCAAGGAGCCATTGTCCATGTACTGATACACAAGCAGCCTCGTGTTCCCTTTGACACAAAATCCTAAGAGAGGGACAACGTTCGTGTGCCGAATCACTCCGAGCGTCTGCACTTCAGCTCTGAACTGCTTGTCTGCTTGCCCAAAGCCTTTAAGACGCTTCACGGCGACGACGGTTGGTCCCGGCATTGTTCCCCTGAAAACACAGCCGAAACCTCCCTCGCCGAGCTTGTCGGAGAAATTCCTCGTAGCTCTCTTCACCTGTGCATATGGGTAGACAGCAAGAGAGCCTTCCACCTCTTGGGAATTTCTGCAGGTAGCAAACAAAGCTCTCCTGTTCCTGTATCTCCATACAAGCGCTAGTATCAATATCACACTAGCTGTTGCTGTCAGTCCGACAACCATGAACACAATCCCTGTTGTTTTCGAATCCTTTTGAGCCCCGAGCTCAGAACCCAAACGAATATAAACCTTGCTGAACGGAGGTGTAGCAGCGAAATTCACGTTGTACAGGTAGTTGTACCATAGCTTGCACCCAGAGTCGTCGTCATACGCGTACGCGACGCAGTAGCATTTGCTCAGACAGGCCTCTCTGCAACCTTTGTCGCCCTCTGCCGTGTCGTTCTGGGAGTTGTAAGGGAGCCTTTGCAGGTTGTCTAAGAGCACAAACGAGTTATCGTGTTCCGCCGTCAGGCCACTATTCGCCGTGCAGCTCAGTGGAAGAGACCTCGAGCAACCACTCACAAAGTATCCACGCTGCCACTCTGATGGGTTTGACGGCTCGAATCCGTCGACGCAGCCACACGTGCCATTGCTCGTGCAGGCGCCGAAACGGCCGCAGAAGAAGGCGCTGGATTTGCAGTCGGAAGGGAAGGTCCAGCGGGCCACCCAGCAGCCACCGGAACTCGACCAGCTCCGTAGGCTGACTTGCCCCAGATGGAGCTGCAAGTGCTCCGCCATGCCTGCGCCCGGACGAGTTTTGAGCAGCAACAGTGAGCTGCCGTTATCTTGAGAAGACACCATCCACTCCGGGAAGGTCCCCCGGAGGACTTCCCAGCCGTCGGTGGCGAGCACGAACCCGTTCCTCCTGCGCTGATCCGGATCGACGCTGAGGCTGCTGTTGTGCCACGAGTTCGTGTTGGTGTACGTCAGCGACACGTTGTTCCCGGTGTCCCCGTCGAGCCCGAGCCTCGCGCCGGGGAGCAGCGCGTCGCCGGGGTAGTCGAAGCTCTGCCACAGGACCTGCGACGAGTTGGCCTGGTCCCTCACCACGAGGTTGCCGCTGTCGAGGAGGACCGCGACGGCGGATGCGGGTGCCGGCACGGAGCCGTCGCCGCCGCCGGCGCCCGCCACGCTTGACCACCAGAGGTTAGTACCGTTCTCGGTGATGTACAGGCGGTCGCCGAAGAGCTGCAGCGCCGCGCTGGGAAGGTCGGAGATGTAGACCCGGTCCCCGAACCAGAACGTCGGGGTGCCGGCGTTCCTCGGCATATTCCGGATCTGCACGCCCAGGAAGTGGTATATGTCCGTCCCCGGGGAGAAGAACCCCAGGTCGAACACGCCGTTCCGGGAGACCAGCGTCTGGTTCCCGTAGATGCCCTCGCCGGGGAGGATGGTGTCTCTGGCGAAGGCAGCCGCGACGAGGAAGAAGAAGGTGGCCAGCGGTGGCCGGGACAATAAGCAAACGCGCTTCACTGCCTCCATTGGCAATAGCAAGGCAACAAACTCGTGTACTTGCGTGGAAGAAGAGAAAGTGCACGAGTACATAAGACCATAACTCCATACAAGATGATCAGATTCACTGGCGATGTCAACCCGAGCTGGCATGGCTCCACCGCATTCAGAAATCAGAGCTGCCGCCAGCTCTTGTTGACCCAGCCAGCTCTTGTTCAGTGAGATTGTCACAGACCAGGGCACCAGGCCCCAGGATACAGACTGCTGGATCACCGACGGACCTTGCGTAGTTGGAGTTGTCCTCTTGAGATAAACGCCGCTATTTGCCGGGACGTGGTGTTCCGACGCAGCGGGAGGCCGGGAGAGGAGACATGCTGGTTTGGTATCGAAACCTGTTCGGCGGTTGGGCACCACCAGTTCACATGCCGTGTCAATTTGGGGTTCAGAACGCACGTTGTGATCATCTTTGTTTCTTTGTTATGGAGATAGGCATTGACCAAAGCTGTAGGAATTTGGAAAGCTATCGCCTATGGGAGTTAAAACATTGTTGAAACAGCCAAATTGAAAGGTCCCACTTCCCTTGGCTTTGGCCTTTTTCTCGGTTGGGTCTGAGATAGACTCCACTTGCAAACTACTTCCACCAATCGATCAAGCTCGATATCTCTGTTTTTTCTGGCAGTTAAACTATCATGTATAAATAAGTCTTTCTTTGATCCCTTCTAGCTAAACTTTAGCTTAGCTAACGGGGTGTTTGATCCCAACTAATAAGGCAATGTTTGGTACACCTTCACTAGTGATGCAATTTTTTTTAGCTTCAGTTCCATAAAGCAGCTTCACCAGTAAAGCTAAAGATATTTTCAAAAAATATTTGGTAAAACAGCTTTTAGGAAGATAGCAAAGAGGAAGCTACAAGAAACTATTATTTTCAGCTTCACTTAGGTTCTTCTGCTATGAGAGAAGCTGAAAAACAGCTTTTAGGAAAAGTTATTTTAACTAGACTGGTTTCGTAGAAGCTAAAAAACAGCTTTGTAAAGCTGAGACAACAGCTCTACCAAATAGGCTCTAATGCTCTTTACAAACAAAATCCTTTTCCCCTCACCCCGCGTCGCTCCCCCTGGGGCGGCTCGGGCGGGTACCCAAACCCTAGCGCCATCGCCCCTACACCTCCCTCCCCCGCCTCGCCGCCACCTGAGCGGGCCACCGGAGGTCCGGCCGAGCGCGAGGAAGGCGGCCACAGGGTTTTCTCTCCCGCGCGTTTGTCAAAGCTTTGACCTCAAGCGTGTTGGTGGCGGCATATTCGTTCCGGCGGGCGGATCCGCCTCCCCATCGGTCGGAGCGACGAGGGACCGCCAAATCCAGTGGGTCCGGCCCCTTTTTCAGCCATCCCAGCTGGGATTGCGGTAGTGGATCTCGTGGCTTGGTCTTGGTGGTGGTGGCGGCTCGGAAGCAGCACGCAACACGGTGTCACATGGTGACGGTGGTTGGTGGCGCGTGTGAAAGCTCTAGTTTGGTTTTGGTTAATTGATGAAACCCTAAGTGCTAACCTAGTCTATCAAGATGTTTATGAGATAGGTAGCACTACTCCAAGTGTTGAAGCAATGACGAAGATCATGACAATGGTGATAGCATGGTGATGATCAAATGCTTGAACTTGGAAAAGAAGAAAGAGAAAAACAAAAGGCTCAAGGCAAAGGTATAAAATATAGGAGCCATTTTGTTTTAGTGATCAAGACACTTAGTGAGTGTGATCACATTTAGGATAGATAGCCGTACTATTAAGAGGAGTGTAACTCAGATTGTAAATGCGGTTATCAAAGTGCCACTAGATGCTCTAACTCATTGCATATGCATTTAGGATCTAGTGGAGTGCTAACACCCTTGAAAATATTTGTGAAAATATGCTAACACATGTGCACAAGGTGTTTGCAGGGTTGAGATGGGTTTGGGTCCCTCTCTCCCTCCCGCCGAAGCTTGTGAGGCGGGATTCGCGCTTTGGAAAAATGAAATGTCTATTTTCTATTGCGCCGGATGCAAAATTCTTAGTGGTTGGCACATTTGAGCAAGGGTGAAGAAGTTAGAGTTGAAATGGAGTTGGTCGAAATGATCTTGGCGTCCGGTCCTGTGGACCGGACTGAATCCGTGCCTGACGGACGCCGACCGCTGCGTCCGGTCAGCACCGACTTCAACGACCTGAGAGGAAGGGTTGAGCACCGGACGCTGGTCTGCGTCCGGTCAAGGTGGACCGGACGCGTCCGGTCGAAGAAATACGCCTCGGGGAGCTTACTGGAAACGACCGGACGCTGGGGCTTCAGCGTCCGGTCAGTTCAAGGAGCAACGTCCGGTCGAGGCTGATGACCGTTGAGTCTGGACACGTGGCTGACATCAAGCGACCGGACGCTGAGAGCCAGCGTCCGGTCAGTCTGACCGGAGCGTCCGGTCAGAACGCGTTTTGCCCAGTGAAGGGGTATAACGGCTCTATTTGATGGGGGCTCTATTTATAGCCCCATGGCCGGCTCAATGGACAACTCTTGCACATTTTCATTGACATAGCAACCTTGTGAGCTTAGCCAAAGCCCTCCCACTCATCTCCATCATTGATCCATCATCATTGTGAGATTGGGAGAGAATCCAAGTGCATTGCTTGAGTGATTGCATCTAGTGGCACTTGGTATTCGTGTTCTTATTTATGATTTCGCTTGTTTCTCTTGGTGGTTGCCACCACCTAGACGCCAGTTGGAGCAGCGGTGAAGGATCGGCACGAGTTGGTGATTGTTCGTGGCCGCCTTCGGTGATTGTGAGGGGAGTTGTACCTTCTTCCCGGAGTGCCGAAAGGTAACTCTAGTAAATTGCTCGTGTCATTGAGTTACCTCACGTGTGGGTCGGTTCTTGCGGTGTCCTATCGTGTGGGCGAGGTTTGTGAAACACCTCTTAGCCGCCGAACCACCAAGTGTTGGTCGACACAACGGGGGCGTAAGCGTGTTGGCAAGCACGTGAACCTCGGGAGAAAATCGATTGTCTCTCTTCTTTGTCATTCTCCGGTGATTGGCTATATATTCATCTTGTGATTGGTTCATCCCCTACACGTTGGTATAATCACTCTACTCGCTCATTTACATTCTTGCAAACTAGTTGATACAAGCTCTTTAGTGTAATTAGAATTGAGAGCTTGCTTTATTATTTACATTCATCTAGTTGAGCTCTTTAGAGTAGCAAGGTTGAGAGCTCTTAGTGAGTAATTACATAGCTAGTTTGTGTGCCTAAGTATTCATTGCAACTAGAATTGTTGGATAGGTGGCTTGCAACCCTTGTAGAGCTAGAGCAAGTTTGCATTACGCTATTTGTCATACTAATCAAATTGCTCTAGTTGATTTGTAGATTTTAAATAGGCTATTCACCCCCCTCTAGCCATATTAGGACCTTTCAAGTGGTATCGAGCCGTGGTCACCGTTTGATTGAAGGCTTAACAACCTCGGTGTCAAATTATGGCTCAAGTTGTGTTCAACCATGTGGGGGCAAACCACCCATTCTTTGATGGCACAAGCTATGATTATTGGAAGAGAAAGATAAGTGTGTATCTTGGTTCAATCAATGATCAAGTATGGGATGTAACCGAGAATGATTATGCTATCATTAATCCCGACAATCCCACCAACCAAGATAAGTCTAACAAGCAATGCAATACAATGGCTCTCAACACCCTATACAATGCCCTTGATCCAAAGGTGTTTGAGCAAATCAAGGATTGTGAAAGAGCAAATGAAGTGTGGAGGAGATTGGAGGAAACCTATGAGGGCACACCGGCGGTGAAGAGTGCCAAGTTGTACATCCTCAAGGACAAGTTGACAAGTTTCAAGATGAAAGATGATGAGAGCATACCGGAGATGTTCCATCGCTTGCAAGTCATTGTCAATGATTTGAAGGCTTTGGGAGAAAAGATCAAGAATGATGATGTCTCTCATCGGTTCTTGATGAGTCTACCTCAAAGGTTTGAAATGTTGAGAATGCTAATCATAAGAGGAGGATTGAAGGAGATCACCCCCAACCAAGTACTAGGTGAAGTCATGACACAAGAGACATACCGTGTGGAAAGGAGGGGATGACAAGGAGGACAAGAAGGAAGATGAGGACAAGAAGAAGAAGAGTGTAGCATTCAAGGCTAGCTCATCATCATACAAGAACAAGGGCAAGTCAAAGAAAGAGTCAAGTGATGATGAGGATCTTAGTGATATTGATGATGAAGCTATGGCTCTCTTTGTGCGCAAGATGGGCAAGTTCATGAAGAAGAAAGGCTATGGTGCAAGAAAAAGAAGAGATCATACCAAGAGCAAAGAATATGTGAGAAGATGCTATAATTGCAAGAGTCCCGATCATGTGGTAGCCAATTGTCCTTACAATAGTGATAATGATGAAGATGAGAAGAACAAACACAAGAAGGACAAGAAAGAAAAGAAGGAGAAGAGGAGAAGAGAATGACCTTTCAAAAGAAGAAGAAGGATGGAGGCTATGTGGTCACTTGGGATAGTGATGGCTCATCGGATAGTGATGACTCTAGTGATGATGGCAATAAATCAATCAAGAAAGCACTAGCAAGCATCGCCATCAACGACAAGCCCTCCATCTTCGACACTCCATCAACGTGCCTCATGGCAAAACCTACCAAGGTAAAATATGATGTGAGTGATGATGATGAGTATGAAAGTGATGCTTGTAGGAGTGATGATGAGGAGGAGGAATACTCAAGGAGGAGCTCATGGACATGTGTGAGCAAGTGCATACTTGCTTTGAGATGAAGAGAAAGGAGTGCAAGGAATTGAACAAGAGAGTCAAATTTCTTGAGCAATCCTTTGATGAGCTCAATGCCACTCATGAGGGGCTAGTGGATGCCCATGAGAAGCTTGGCAAAGCTCACTCTAAGCTTGAAAAGGCTCACTCCTCTCTCATTGAGCAAATCAAGAAGGAGGAAGCCAAGGAGGAGCAAGTGATAGTTACATGTGATGTGGGACTAACATGTGATCTTATTAATGAATCTA